TTAGGTGTATCTGGTTCCGCGGATGCCGGCGCCCTAGGTCCTCTCACGGCAATAGCGTCGGCGCGCCACCCCGCAGTAGGCTTAAGCTCTCCAGCGTCGTTCCACAGACGAGTCCGTAAGAAATCTCTGCTGTTCATCAGTATCCCTTGCGTGATTGTTGAAAAGTCCCCTGCCACCAGTCACCGCAATAGCTCAAACCCTAGCTCGGCTGGTTGAGGAGGTGCATGAATGTGTTCTCCAATGCTTGCGCGGGTTGGTTTCTCTTGCTTAGTCACGACGGAATGTATTGGGAATTGTAAGCAGAAGTGTGAAAACAATCACGCAAGCACCTCTCTAAGCTTGCCTACTTTCTTAAGTACTAGAGGCGGGTTACCGTTGTGTTAACGGTCCCTTTTCGCCTACCGATTTCTTGTTTCCCGTTTGTTCGTTTCGGCCTTTGACCCCTCCTGCCGTATCCTACCTACAGAATTCTCCGTTGCTACTATATGTCACGAATGTATATCTAAGGTACCTACGCCAAGATTATAATCGTGACAGGGTGACGATGAAGTAGAGAGCGATGTACATGGGAGGGGGGTTCTTGGCGAGGAACTCGGCAGGAAGTGCGGCGCGGTAGCGAGTGTCACTAGTGCGAAGGTGAGTGACGAGGTCGCCAACTGTGGCAAAGGCGGACAGCTCGGTAAAAAGGAAGGGCAGTATAAGGCAGCCTAGAGCAGCAGTGGCCGGGGAGGAGTAACGAGCTACTACAGCGTCGTACAGGGCTCTAGCAGTCTTGTGCTGGCCAAAGTGAGCGCGTTCGGCTAACGGCAGGTGGTTGCGAACGGCTAGGCGAGCAGCAGCGTCACGGGTAAGCCACTGTGAGCGAGTCGCACTGTCAGCTGTGTCGGGAGGGGCGAGAGAGGCTCCAGATGTGAGGTCAAATAATGAAACGCCGTCTCTATAATCGCTCAGTAGGTACAGCTGCAGGTCATCTGGCCACGCATCGAACTCGATCGGACGGCCCTCAGGATCGAACGTGAGGACGCTGAGAGCAGCCATAGCGGGCAGAGCAGAGTGGCGCGCGCGTAGAGGGCAGCACGCAAGCAAGAGCGGCGCAACAGGCAGAGCGGCGCGGCGCACGGCTAGGGCAGGGCGGCGCAACCGGCAGGGCAGGGCGGCGCAACCGGCAGGGCAGGGCGGCAGCCAGCAGGGCGGCACGCGGGAAGGGCAGGGCAGGGCGGTGGCCAGCAGGGCGGCGCGCGTGCAGGGCAGGGCGGCGCGGCAGCGAGCGGCGCGTGTGCAGGGCAGGGCGGCGCGGCGGCCAGCAGTGCGCGGGCAGGGCAGGGCGGCGCGGCAGCGAGCGGCGCGTGTGCAGAGCAGGGCGGCGCGGCGGCCAGCAGTGCGCGGGCAGGGCAGGGCGGCGCGGCGGCGAGCGGCGCGCGGGCAGGGCAAGGCGGCGCGGGGGCGAGCAGCGTGCGGGCAGGGCAGGGCGGCGCGGCGGCGAGCAGCGCGCGGGCAGGGCAGGGCGACGCGGCGGCTTGCGGCGCGCAGGCAAGGCAGGGCGGCGCAGCAGCGAGCGGCGCGCGGGCAGGGCAGGGCGGCGCAGCGGCGAGCGGCGCGCGGGCAGGGCAGGGCAGGGCGTGAGCGGGCGGCGCGACGCAAGGCAGGACGCGCGCGGGCGGCGCGACGCAGGGCAGGGCAGGGCAGCGCGGCGCGGGCGGCGCGACGCAGGGCAGGGCGGTGCGCGGGCGACGAGCGGCGCGCGGGCAGGGCAGGGCAGCGCGGCGCTAGCAGGGCGGCGCGACGAGCAGGGCAGGGCAGCGCGAGGTCAGCAGGGCGGCGCGACGGGTGGGGTAGCGCGACACGGGCAGCGAGCTAGGCGGTGGGCCCTAAAAAAAACGGTCCTAGGAGAGGACCTGCTCTGAAACCATGTCAGCAGAATAAACGAGAATGAATTGAACTAGAAAGGAAGCAAGTACCCCAATTGGGTTGTACCCCTTGTGGGCAACCCCACTACAGCCTACACAACATAAACATGATGATAGTTTGACACGTGTGTACTGCTCGTCGTTGGTTTCGCAGTAGCCTACGACGAGGAAGTCGCTATACACCTTCTCCAGCTTGGCGTAGCGGTTGGTTCCGGGTTCTAGCAGGGGGAAGGGTTGATGACTCAGCGCGGCTTCAGGGCAGACGGTGCAATTGCGTGGTTGTGAGATGCTCCTCACTTCGGTGCCATCAGGGCGCAGGAGTGCGCCAGGCGCGAACACGCCAGCCTCGATGCAATTCTTCAGTGTCACGCGCGAGGGGTGACCGAGGCGCTTGTGCCAAAGGTCATCGTTGGCGCGGAATCCAGAGGTGCGCATGTACCGTGCGCGCACTGCTTCGGGGTCCTCGTCAAGTACTGGGGCAGGATCCGCTGCTGCTTCTTCAGCTTCTTCTTCTTCGTCGTTCGCCGTCGTCAGCATCACCGCCAAGAATTCCCTGTCGAGAATCACGGAGAAGGAGATGTTGGTACCGGGAATCGTTCCGGGGAAAAATATGGGCTCGTGCAGCTCGGGGTCAGGTCCGTGGACTGTGCGACGGGGGGTTGAGGGTGTCCCAAGGGTCGCGGTGCGGCTGGACGTCAGGTGGGGGTAGCGCGCGTGCAGGTCGGCGCGGGGGACGACCAAGAGGAACAACAGAAGGTTCCGCCTCTGCTTCTTCTTCCCCCCTTTGGTCCTCACGGGAAGTTCCCCAGCCTCCGCCGGAGGTGCCCCAACTGCTTGTTTCGCCGCCAGATGCGGTGCCCCATCCGCCGCCCGCACTTGCCCAGGTGCCGCGGGTGTTGCCGCCAGTTGCGGCGCCCCATCCGCCAGTGTCGCTCGTTCCCCATCTGCCGGTGCTTCCCCAGTCCCCTTCATTGGAGACGCTTTCGTCTTCTTCAGCGCCCCATCCGCCGAAGGCGAACGTGCCACGTGCCTCGGCGAGACTGCGCTGGCGAAGCTCCTCTGCTTCGCGTCGCGCCAGCTCCTCTTCTTGCGCGATGGTGAGCTTCTTCTTGGGGTCAGGGTCGCGCCAGTGGGGGTAGATCTTCAGGAAGGCTTCCTTCGTGTAGGGGCGCGGAGTTCCTTCCGCGTTGAAGGTGCCGATGTTTGTACCGCGCAGGATCCCGTGAAGGTGGCGGGATGCAGGTCCGAGGAGAGGATGTTCCTCCGTGCCGTGGATGTTGCGCGTTGCGATTTCAATGCCCTCTTCTGGCGGCGCGAATTGCTCAGCTTCGGCGATCGCCGCGAGTCCGCGTCCGGCGATGGCGCTCGTTGACATGCCCTCTTAGGCGCCTGCAATGGTCCACTCCCAAGTACCGCTCTGCTGCATAGGCGGAAAAGGGGAGGGCAGATGATGGGGGGCCACCGGAGTGGAGGGCGGGTGATGGGGGGACGGAGGAGAGGACGGCAAGCACTGTTGGAGGGGCGTCAGCAGGTGAAGCAGTTGCAGCAGTAGGCGAGCTTGATCCCCAAGGGTTACCATCTGCAGCTGCACCATCGCAACCACAATCACCCTCCTCCTCACCATCGTCCTCCTCCTCCTCCTCATCACCATCATCACCACCATCACCACCACCACCATCATCACCATCATCACCCCCACCACCATCATCCCCAGAAGCAGCGGCAGTAGAGGTGGCATTCCCAGGGACGAGAGTGTCGAGGCTGAGTGGCGCCACGGTCACATGGCACTCTGCTCTGGAGGACGTGCCTGAGGGAGGTGAGATGTGCTTTGAGTTGTCTCAAATACACATCATTTACAGACAAAGCCAACAGGCATCCCCAGGGACAGGAGTGTCAGGGCTGAGTGTCAGTGTCACAGATGTGCCAGGGGGAGGTGAGACGTGCCAGGGGGAGGTGAGATGTGCCAGGGGGAGGTGAGACGTGCCAGGGGGAGGTGAGATGTGCCAGGGGGAGGTGAGATGTGCCAGGGGGAGGTGAGATGTGCCAGGGGGAGGTGAGACGTGCCAGGGGGAGGTGAGAAGTGCCAGGGGAAGGTTAGATGTGCCAGGGGGAGGTGAGATCTGCCAAGGGGAGGTGAGATGTGCCAGGGGGAGTTGAGATGTGCCTGGGGGAGGTGAGATGTGCCAGGAGGAGGTGAGATGTGCCAGGGGGAGGTGAGATGTGCCACGGGGAGGTGAGATGTGCCAGGGGGAGGTGAGATGTGCCAGGGGGAGGTGAGACATTCGTGCGGCAACCGACTTGATACTGCACACAGCACGTTCCATCCATCCCCCACACACCCTTCCACCTCCATTGTGTATCTGTGTTCGTGCACACGCATACAGGCATCGTCTGACATGCTCGCCTGCACACGTTAAGTGTTAAAAAATGATTTTTTTCGCTTTTCCTTGCTTCTCCAATGCTTGCCCTGGTCTGCATTGCTTCACCCCTCTCTACTCCTCTTCATTCTCTCTCCGTTCGCTCTCTTCCACCCCTCAGTGCCCACCATCCTCATTACGCACGAGTTCTTTGATGCCCTGCCCGTGCATCAGTTCCAAGTAAGCGCCCACTGCATTCACTACAGAGCATTTCGTTTAGCTCATACCAGTCCACTAGATCCAATGCGCCTGCAACTGTTGAATGCTTGTTCAGTGATAAATGCGTGAGCCCGTGCGGTCTGCAGGCGTCATTAGGCTGCAGATTGTCTTCCTCTTTCATGCCGTGCCTTGCTGTCACAACCAGGCATGTTTAACACGCCATGGCATGGCATGGCATGTTAAAGCATTGGCTTGACATTGGCATTGCATGTTATCGCGCTGTCTTGACATTGGCATGGCATGGCAGAAAACGGAGAGAGGGTGGTGTGAGAAACTGGTTGATGTGGCCGAAACAGACAAAAAAGGCCATCCATCTAAAGACCCCTCCCACCCAAGCCATGCACAAGGGGACAACAGTAGCCGTCCATCTACCGACTACCCTTTCCGTTTCGTCCTTTCTTCCGGGCCGAGTGCCGCAAGCACTCTTTGTCTTCTTCCTCGCATGCAATGGGCCCCAATGGAGGAGCGGGCGGCAGCCGTCCACGTGGAAATTTGTCCTATAGCAGTGAAGATTGCGCTGCAGATCACGGAGAGGGTGGCGAGAGACGGTGGGGCGGCGCTGATAGTGGATTACGGGGAGGACAGAATGATATCAGACAGCCTTCAGGTGCGCTTTGAATCCTCTCATATCCCTTCCTCTTCTCTCTTGCTCCTCCTCTACGTCCTCGCTCTCATTCTCTCCCCTTAGGCTATACAAGTACGTTAGCACGAGTTTGTTGTATCTTAAATCACCTCTGCGTCCTTCACTCACCTCCGTCGATCTGTCGCCCACCTCCTTTGCTTCCCTCACTCACTCACTCTCTCTATCTATCTCGTGCCCTGCAGGCTATCCGCAAGCATGAGTTTGTGAACTTGTTGGATGCGCCTGGCTCGGCGGACCTGAGTGCGTATGTGGGCTTCTGAGGCACTTCAAAACACCCTCATTCTCTCTCCTACCCTCTCCTTCCTCCCACAGGCCATCCGCAAGCATGAGTTTGTGAATGTGCTGGATGCGCCTGGCACGGCGGACCTGAGTGCGTATGTGGACTTCTGAGGCACTTCAAAACACCCTCATTCTCTCTCCTACCCTCTCCTTCCCCCCACAGGCCATCCGCAAGCATGAGTTTGTGAATGTGTTGGATGCGCCTGGCACGGCGGACCTGAGTGCGTATGTGGACTTCTGAGGCACTTCAAAACACCCTCATTCTCTCTCCTACCCTCTCCTTCCCCCCACAGGCCATCCGCAAGCATGAGTCTGTGAATGTGCTGGATGCGCCTGGCACGGCGGACCTGAGTGCGTATGTGGACTTCTGAGGCACTTCAAAACACCCTCATTCTCTCTCCTACCCTCTCCTTCCCCCCACAGGCCATCCGCAAGCATGAGTCTGTGAATGTGCTGGATGCGCCTGGCACGACGGACCTGAGTGCGTATGTGGACTTCGCTGCCCTCCGCCAAACTGTCATCGACTCCAAGTGTGAGTGCTTCTCCGCCTCTGGTAGCTCTGCTGAGAACTTTCTTGTTAGCTATAAGAGCCTCTTAATGACTATGGGAATGTGCTCTTATGAACCTCTCATCAAATATGGGGACCTCTTATCAACTGTAGGGACCTCTCATCAACTATAGGGACCTCTCATCAAGTAGAGGGACCTCTCATCAACTAGAGGGACCTCTCATCAACTACAGGGACCTCTCATCAACTAGAGGGACCTCTCATCAACTACAAGGACCTCTCATCAACTAGAGGGACCTCTCATCAACTAGAGGAACCTCTCATCAACTAGAGGGACCTCTCATCAACTACAGGAACCTCTCATCAACTAGAGGGACCTCTCATCAACTACAGGGACCTCTCATCAACTACAGGGACCTCGCATCAACTACAGGGACCTCGCATCAACTACAGGGACCTCGCATCAACTACAGGGACCTCGCATCAACTACAGGGACCTCGCATCAACTACAGGGACCTCGCATCAACTACAGGGACCTCGCATCAACTACAGGGACCTCGCATCAGCTACAGGGACCTCGCATCAGCTACAGGGACCTCGCATCAACTACAGGGACCTCTCATCAACTACAGGGACCTCTCATCAACTACAGGGACCTCGCATCAACTACAGGGACCTCTCATCAACTACAGGGACCTCTCATCAACTACAGGGACCTCTCATCAACTACAGGGACCCCTCATCAACTACAGAGACCTCTCATCAACTACAGGGACCTCTCATCAACTACAGGGACCTCTCATCAACTACAGGGACCTCTCATCAACTACAGGGACCTCTCATCAACTACAAGGACCTCTCATCAACTACAGGGACCTCTCATCAACTACAAGGACCTCTCATCAACTACAGGGACCTCGCATCAACTACATGGACCTCTCATCAACTACAAGGACCTCTCATCAACTACAGGGACCCCTCATCAACTACAGGGACCTCTCATCAACTACAGGGACCTCTCATCAACTACAGGGACCTCTCATCAACTACAGGGACCTCTCATCAACTACAGGGACCTCTCATCAACTACAAGGACCTCGCATCAACTACAAGGACCTCTCATCAACTACAGGGACCTCCCATCAACTACAGGGACCTCTCATCAACTACAAGGACCTCGCATCAACTACAGGGACCTCGCATCAACTACAGGGACCTCGCATCAACTACAGGGACCTCGCATCAACTACAGGGACCTCGCATCAACTACAGGGACCTCTCATCAACTACAGGGACCTCTCATCAACTAGAGGGACCTCTCATCAACTAGAGGGACCTCTCTTCAACTAGAGGGACCTCTCATCAACTACAGGGACCTCTCATCAACTAGAGGGACCTCTCATCAACTACAGGGACCTCTCATCAACTACAGGGACCTCGCATCAACTACATGGACCTCGCATCAACTACAGGGACCTCGCATCAACTACAGGGACCTCGCATCAACTACAGGGACCTCTCATCAACTACAGGGACCTCTCATCAAGTAGAGGGACCTCTCATTAACTAGAGGGACCTCTCATCAACTACAGGGACCTCTCATCAACTAGAGGGAGCTCTCATCAACTACAGGAACCTCCCATCAACTAGAGGGACCTCTCATCAACTACTGGGACCTCTCATCAACTACAGGGACCTCGCATCAACTACATGGACCTCGCATCAACTACAGGGACCTCGCATCAACTACAGGGACCTCGCATCAACTACAGGGACCTCGCATCAACTACAGGGACCTCTCATCAACTACAGGGACCTCTCATCAACTACAGGGACCTCGCATCAACTACAAGGACCTCTCATCAACTACAGGGACCTCGGATCAACTACAGGGACCTCTCATCAACTACAAGGACCTCGCATCAACTACAGGGACCTCGCATCAACTACAGGGACCTCGCATCAACTACGGGGACCTCGCATCAACTACAGGGACCTCGCATCAACTACAGGGACCTCGCATCAACTACAGGGACCTCTCATCAACTACAGGGACCTCTCATCAACTAGAGGGACCTCTCATCAACTAGAGGGACCTCTCATCAACTAGAGGGACCTCTCATCAACTAGAGGGACCTCTCATCAACTACAGGGACCTCTCATCAACTACAGGGACCTCGCATCAACTACATGGACCTCGCATCAACTACAGGGACCTCGCATCAACTACAGGGACCTCGCATCAACTACAGGGACCTCTCATCAATTACAGGGACCTCTCATCAAGTAGAGGGACCTCTCATCAACTAGAGGGACCTCTCATCAACTACAGGGACCTCTCATCAACTAGAGGGAGCTCTCATCAACTACAGGAACCTCCCATCAACTAGAGGGACCTCTCATCAACTACTGGGACCTCTCATCAACTACAGGGACCTCGCATCAACTACATGGACCTCGCATCAACTACAGGGACCTCGCATCAACTACAGGGACCTCTCATCAACTACAGGGACCTCTCATCAACTACAGGGACCTCGCATCAACTACAAGGACCTCTCATCAACTACAGGGACCTCGGATCAACTACAGGGACCTCTCATCAACTACAAGGACCTCGCATCAACTACAGGGACCTCGCATCAACTACAGGGACCTCGCATCAACTACGGGGACCTCGCATCAACTACAGGGACCTCGCATCAACTACAGGGACCTCTCATCAACTACAGGGACCTCTCATCAAGTAGAGGGACCTCTCATCAACTAGAGGGACCTCTCATCAACTACAGGGACCTCTCATCAACTAGAGGGACCTCTCATCAACTACAGGGACCTCTCATCAACTAGAGGGACCTCTCATCAACTAGAGGAACCTCTCATCAACTAGAGGGACCTCTCATCAACTACAGGAACCTCTCATCAACTAGAGGGACCTCTCATCAACTACTGGGACCTCTCATCAACTACAGGGACCTCGCATCAACTACATGGACCTCGCATCAACTACAGGGACCTCGCATCAACTACAGGGACCTCGCATCAACTACAGGGACCTCGCATCAACTACAGGGACCTCTCATCAACTACAGGGACCTCTCATCAACTACAGGGACCTCTCATCAACTACAGGGACCTCTCATCAACTACAAGGACCTCTCATCAACTACAGGGACCTCTCATCAACTACAAGGACCTCTCATCAACTACAGGGACCTCGCATCAACTACATGGACCTCTCATCAACTACAAGGACCTCTCATCAACTACAGGGACCCCTCATCAACTACAGGGACCTCTCATCAACTACAGGGACCTCTCATCAACTACAGGGACCTCTCATCAACTACAGGGACCTCTCATCAACTACAGGGACCTCTCATCAACTACAAGGACCTCGCATCAACTACAAGGACCTCTCATCAACTACAGGGACCTCCCATCAACTACAGGGACCTCTCATCAACTACAAGGACCTCGCATCAACTACAGGGACCTCGCATCAACTACAGGGACCTCGCATCAACTACAGGGACCTCGCATCAACTACAGGGACCTCGCATCAACTACAGGGACCTCTCATCAACTACAGGGACCTCTCATCAACTAGAGGGACCTCTCATCAACTAGAGGGACCTCTCTTCAACTAGAGGGACCTCTCATCAACTACAGGGACCTCTCATCAACTAGAGGGACCTCTCATCAACTACAGGGACCTCTCATCAACTACAGGGACCTCGCATCAACTACATGGACCTCGCATCAACTACAGGGACCTCGCATCAACTACAGGGACCTCGCATCAACTACAGGGACCTCTCATCAACTACAGGGACCTCTTATCAAGTAGAGGGACCTCTCATTAACTAGAGGGACCTCTCATCAACTACAGGGACCTCTCATCAACTAGAGGGAGCTCTCATCAACTACAGGAACCTCCCATCAACTAGAGGGACCTCTCATCAACTACTGGGACCTCTCATCAACTACAGGGACCTCGCATCAACTACATGGACCTCGCATCAACTACAGGGACCTCGCATCAACTACAGGGACCTCGCATCAACTACAGGGACCTCGCATCAACTACAGGGACCTCTCATCAACTACAGGGACCTCTCATCAACTACAGGGACCTCGCATCAACTACAAGGACCTCTCATCAACTACAGGGACCTCGGATCAACTACAGGGACCTCTCATCAACTACAAGGACCTCGCATCAACTACAGGGACCTCGCATCAACTACAGGGACCTCGCATCAACTACGGGGACCTCGCATCAACTACAGGGACCTCGCATCAACTACAGGGACCTCTCATCAACTACAGGGACCTCTCATCAACTAGAGGGACCTCTCATCAACTAGAGGGACCTCTCATCAACTAGAGGGACCTCTCATCAACTACAGGGACCTCTCATCAACTAGAGGGACCTCTCATCAACTACAGGGACCTCTCATCAACTACAGGGACCTCGCATCAACTACATGGACCTCGCATCAACTACAGGGACCTCGCATCAACTACAGGGACCTCGCATCAACTACAGGGACCTCTCATCAATTACAGGGACCTCTCATCAAGTAGAGGGACCTCTCATCAACTAGAGGGACCTCTCATCAACTACAGGGACCTCTCATCAACTAGAGGGAGCTCTCATCAACTACAGGAACCTCCCATCAACTAGAGGGACCTCTCATCAACTACTGGGACCTCTCATCAACTACAG